AGCCTGTCTCTCAATAATAATAATACAGTGTGTGATCTCCTGTCACAGCCTGAGGAACAGACAGTGAGCCTGTCTCTCAATAATAATAATACAGTGTGTGATCTCCTGTCACAGCCTGAGGAACAGACAGACAGTGAGCCTGTCTCTCAATAATAATAATACTGTGTGTGATCTCCTGTCACAGCCTGAGGAACAGACAGACAGTGAGCCTGTCTCTTAATAATGTTTTATGTTACGTGTATGTAAATGTCCAAAGATATGTTTATACAGCAAGTGTTGGGTTAATTTTGTTGGCTTTGGCAACCGTTAAATTCATCAGTCATACCAATAAGACTTGTTGAATCTGAACTGAATGAGAATTTGAGGAGGACAGAAAGGGAGGGTAAGATGGGATAGGCAGGAGACAGGTCCTGGGCTCAGAGAATAATAATAATAATTCCTTACACTTTTCTGGACACTCCACTCTGAGCACTTTACAGGTCATGGGGAATCCCACTACCACCACCAGTGTGCAGCCCCTCCTGGCTGATGCTCCAGTACTCTCCCCACACACCAGCTCTCAGTGGGGAGGAGAGCAGAGTGAGTTGTTGTGATGTGAGATGTGATCTCCTGTCACAGCCTGAGGAACAGTGAGCCTGTCTCCCAATAATGCTCCATATATTTACAGTATATGTAAATATTTTTTGATATGTCTCTGTTGTAAATGTCTGTAGATTTTATTTTACTTTTATTTTATGTTTTGTTCCATGTTAATTTTATTATTTTTATTTGCTATGGCAATACTGATTGTACCCATCGGTCATGCTAATAAAGCACTTTGAATTGAAGTGAATTGAAAATTGTTCTGCCAGAATACTGAGGCAATAGGCAGCTCACGAGAGAGTGGTTTTATGCATTTATTCATTGTTACTTTTGCTGTCGCTTTTTTGATGACTGTTATGTGGTGCTTTGTAAGAACTGGTGACTAATTAGCTAAGTTGTAAACATGGCAGGGCTGTAACTTGCCACGCCGATGGGTTATTGTGGTGACAAAGCAAGAACAATTAGCAGAACATTTCCAACAATACAGTTCTTCTTTTTGGTCTTATTCATTTCTTCTTCTCACTGTTTCTCGAGCTGTTACACGGTCTGCCTCAGGATTGGAAGCTATTCTGATTCCATCTGGGAATTCTGGGCTGAAATTTGTTATTTAGTTTAAGGATGAATGTTTCTCTAATCCCAGAGTATTTCTCACAGTGCAGCAGAAAGTGCATCTCCATCCCTACTTCTACCTGCTGGCAGTTGGAGTCAGGTCTGTGTCCATCTTGTATTTCCAGGCCATAGTCACTGAACCTGTCCTCTCTGGACAGCCAGGTCTGCCTATGTCCAGTTTCTGTGTCCAGGCTGTGGTCACTGAGCCTGTCCTCTCTGGACAGCCAGGTCTACTGTGTCCAGGCTGTGGTCACTGAGCCTGTCCTCTCTGGA